ATATATATATATATATATATACTGTATATATGTGTGTGTGTGTGTGTGTGTGTGTGTGTGAATGTTTGATCGATCATAGAAGACTGTTACAGCTTCACTCCTGCACTGACCTTGATCTATACATGTAAATGCAGAACATGAACTGCTATGTTTAAGCTGTTCTATCCTTCCCTTTAACCTGTAATTAAAGTGCTTCAGTACATTGTTCTAAAGAATATCGACACTAGGCACACCACTCACAAAACACTCCACGGCTCCAAAAAACGATCAGAGCAATTACAACAAGAATTAGCAGCAGTTCTATTGATCTGGATGGAATCCTTGAAGCCTATTTTCTCACGCATCTGTTGACCATGAAGGGGGAGCAGAGAGGGACATGGATGGGCTTCATCCATGCTCACTTGTTCAGCTATTTGTTGACAAGATAATCCATATAAACCTGAGTGATCTGACAGAAGATGAAAGAATTGAAGTGATGTGTTCAGATTCACTCTACAAGCATCAAACGGGCCTGAGAGGAAGTAAAGGAAAGCTTAAACCACAACTCTCACAAGAGCTTTCTGCTTTGCTCTGCACAAAATACAAATGAGATGGAAGGGTCTGATTGGGTTTAAAGGGACTGCATCAGCATTTATTTTATATTTATGGATATATATTAACGTTAATGTATTATTTATGAGATGGCACATCAGCGGATCTTATGACCTAGACACTTGTATAGTATATCATAGAAATCAAGAAGTTAAAATTTGAATTTTGTGGACTTTAGTCCATTTTTTAGTTCTAGAGTAATCCTACACATTGACAAAATTCACTTTTAGAATATAAACACATTTTAAATTTGCAGTATTTCTCTCTTGAAAAAGATAAAAAACACTGATGACACATCTTGCACTACACACATTTTTGTCAAATCAGATGTTCTCTTGAATGAGAGTCCCACCCCAATACAACCTTCAACTACACAAACATATGAAAGAAAATTGCTTATCAAGTTTTACAGGTCTTTAAATGAACGGATGTGGTGGTTTTGCATAAAAATTAAGATATCCAATAACGCTCATTAGAAATGGACCAACAGAATGAAATTTCTTCAATCTAAGAAAAAAAAAACTGAGCACATTTACAGGGAACTGCTTAACATAAATCTAATGTGTGAATGTAAGCCACTAAAAACAGGTTCTGGCATTGAACATAAATTTCTATCTGTCGAGTCAAGTCTGTCACATTTCTCTTCTAATGCTGTTTAACACAAGCCAGTATAGGGTTACAAATTCTATTAGCGCTGGAATCGGTGTGATGTAAGGGAGGTCTGCCTTACATTACCTCATTCTAGAGGATGTGAGGTCATTCTTTAAGTAAAACAAACCTTATGTTCTGCTGTCACGAAGAGAACATTATGACTTGAGTATTCTGTTCACGAGGGGGTAGATTCAAGACTGATAAAGACAAGCTTTCACCTTGAATTATTATTTTGAAATGTTTGGGTTTAAGTTTGGAGGTGTTCAGTTACTCTGCATTACATCCAAAGGTCAGACACGATGGGAAATATCGACTTGAAATATCAAAATACAGCACATTCCTCCAGTAAGCAGAAGCAGTTCTGGGTTTAAAAAAGTGTGTGTAATGATTTTACAAATTTGTGTAGTTTGCTTCCCATCTCTCTCTACCCCTCAGTTCAGATTAATTTTTAAGCTGATCCAGATGGATGGAAAAGCAGGGAGAAGCAGAGCATGGCCTTGTGGGTAGTTTAGTTCAGCATGGCCGCTCTTGTGCTCTGCAAGCATGACGACAAGAGGGCAAGAAGCTCTAGTCACAAAGAGTGGCAATTTAGTTGAAAAGACGACAAGGCAGAGATGCTACCACTCCATCAGGAGAGGAATTATTACAAACAATTCCATAATATGAGCTCAACTCGTTTGTCCTGACTCAGAACTGCTTGTCCTTGATCAGAATTCAAGACTCCCAAAATCTGGGTCAGGGGCTTGAAAACCAGATCTTCTTGTTGGCACACTGGAGCGAAGGTCCTCTTTGATGCTGGTTCCACAATGTTCAGAATCAGGTGTGATTGAAGTGATTGGGTACATGGAAAAATTTAACTAGAGGAGCACAGTCCTCATCAACAGTGCAGCTTTGAAGTGTGTGTGTGTGCGTGTGTGTGTACGAGAGAGGGAGAGATTGATGTTGAAGCACCTGCTGACTTCTGGCTGTTAACAGCCTTGCTGTGCTGGAGATTTTATCCAGAAGCAAAGCAGCAGCTAAGTGCACATCACGTCAGCACTACAGAGAAAGAATGAGAAGTCTGAAAGGTTATGAATGAATGTGAACTTGTTGCTGGGTTTCTGTAATGATGTGAGCAAATAACAATGCTAAAAAAATAATGTTCCGAGTACTGAATGGATGTTCAGATGGTTGTAATTATGTAATTAGTTGCATGTCCAGTTTCGTGATCTCCAGCTAAAACTCTCTAAATGCCAAGTCCACTTTCATCGACATTTACAAGCTGGGTGTTTTCCAAACTGCCCTGTCCTGATAATATAGATTTGTTCAAATAAAATGCACTTGATGTTCTCAGTTTTATAAATGTAGAACTGAGCTTTCAAAAGACAAGCATTCTGAATCTCCAAACGAGAGAGCACTCACATGGAAAACTCCAGTAAGAGCAGGAATACATTAGAGATATCACTCTCGGCAAGTGGTGTGTCTCCATGTGTTGTCTTCCTGCTGCTGATGATGTGAGGATGTTTTTACAGGGTTGAGGGGAAAGAGGCAGGAGGTGAGGAAGGGCATTTCCGCTCTTCTGAGATCTCCGGAAAAGGTTACGACTCCACAGGTAATCACCACATGTTAATCAGTCAGAAAGACCCCAAAACATTTCTGCATCTACAAAAACATTCTATCATTTGTCCCCAAAAGTTAATTTAAGGACACACTGATATTATGCAGATAATTATTTTCATGTTGTGGCCAATACCTGATGGCCAATTCTGTAAAATTTTACAATTTTTCTAAATCACTTGTGAATTAAGGCATCACAACTTTGTAATGTGCAGTAAGAAAAATAAAACCTATCAAATCATTTTGGAATCTTGCTAAAGATAACTATTAACAAGTATTATTAAACTATTAGTGTTTTTGAAAATTAACTTTGTGAGCATTAGATGATGGCAAAATTACAATTTAAATTAAATGTAAATAAAAACCGCAAAAACTGGTGGGGGGAAATAGTGGAAAAACAATAATACATATACAAAACAACAACATATACATCTCCAACATCAACCAATGCCATAAATGAATAAATGTCTCATTCTGGCTGATAACAGATTTTACCAGTGGATGACGCTATTTAGTGTAGAACTAACTGAAATATAATACTTATTCTGACGGTGGCCGTGATTTTGCCAAGTAAGACATGTTCCTGGATCAACATCTTTTGTTGATCCTGGATCAACATTACTGTCCAGAAATACAGACTTAACCCAATCCCCACCCCTAAACCTAACCTTACCCATATTTATTCCTAAAATCAGAGGGAAATGATAGCTGATTAACAAGGGTGTAGAAGCACCTAATCCTGATTGTAAGTCTAAAACTGACATTTCCTGAAAAGTTATCTCTCAATTCTGATTGGTTGATTGGAATGATGTTCCAGGATCAACAAGGATGTTGATCCAGGAACATGTTGTACTTGGTCAAATCATGCTCACCTTATTCTGACACAGACCCTAATCTGACCCCATTACAATCGCTGAGGCTTTTGTCTGTACTCCAGAGAGAGCAAAGAAATTTAGTTGGACTTTATTGCTTGTGTTTTATGAGCACAATGTTTTACATCATGAGGTTGATTGCATTTTTCACTTTATGGATGATTGTAAAAATGAGATATTGCTGATATCATCCCCTTGAAAACACATCCGGATGTGCTTATAGGATTCTGCGTCTTCAAAGGGATTTTATGTCATACACACAGCCTCCACCTGAGACATCATCCCACTGCTTCATTCATTTGACTTTTTATGTGTTAATACAACATTACATTTCTTACTAACTGTTCATTCAGAGACTCAAAAGAGCATCCAGTGACTAATGATGAACCATTCACATTTACCAGTTAGAAAGACTGAATAAACTCACTGAATGAATACAAACTCTGTATTTGCAGGAAATGCCAACAGATCAGATAATGTGTGCTAAAATTTCTTACATGCTCACAGGGGTCATGACCTCTGTTAATAAATGTTGTTTGGTTGACATTTTTATGTCCCTGTGGGACTTGAAAAAAAAGGTTTAAAGTACATTTTATCAATCAAAAACGTACAGATACAGGTTTCTTGAGGTCCCCTTTGCGGAAGAAGCATTAATCTGATGCCGAGGTCAAAGCACTGAGGAATATTTAACTGCAGAGACAATAACAAGCTAAATTGTGTGATGCACTACATAGTTACTATAAAACTGTATCTCCTGCTGTTGGTCAGTGCAAGCGCTCTGACATACTGAAATGTGGCACTCATAAAAGACTCAGATTTGAGTCTGGCCTGAATCGGAGTCTGAAACTATATTTAAAAAATGATATAGTAGGTACATCATTGAAGTAGTTCAATCATGGCCGAGGAAACTGAAAGCAAGAAAAATCAGCGATGACTTCATACTCTAAATATTTCCTATCTCTCTAACCTTCTCCTTACTGTCAGTCGTGATTTGTGTGATATTATACTGAATTAGTAAAATGTTAGTTCATATGCAATTAAACCCATATGTCTTGAGCAGCATCACTTGAAGCATTTCAATCTGAATCACAGAATGCAGCACAAATCAAGCTCAGAGGACAAAATATGCTGTCACAGACAGGTACAAAGTCACTCAATAAGACCTTCGCACTCACTCTTACTATTCCTTCAGGTAGAAGAAGCTTCTAATCTATTCTTCTATTAACACAAGGAGAGATGCCCAATTAGATGCAGACTGTTCTAGCAAAACAAGAGAAACAAACCACTCACCTCTTCCATCATCCTGGATCTTGTGCAGGAGTTCGGAATAGTTAACAGGCCCTTTGTTCTCCTCAAACACCAGGTCCATGGTGGTGATGTTGTCCTCATGCATCTCCGTGTAAAGCCCCTCCAGGGCAAAGTAGCAGGCCCTTTCTCCCATTTTGGTATCACTAAACATCAGCAGGGTGTGTTGGTGCCACCCAAAATGCTTGTAGAGGTGGAGGGCGTACTCGCCCAGTTTCTTATGTGTGGGGCCTGTGTTGGTGATGGAAGTGTACATCTCCATCTGCATGAAAGCTACAGCAGGGGCCCCTGCCGTGATCATGGGGAGGCCCCAATGAGCAGTGAACAGCCCAACGGGGGAGGAGGTATAGTCACAGCCAGGCCCTATGAAGGCCCACGGGTTGTGTTCAAACTTCAGGTCTACGGCCATGAGGGGGGCGATAGACTCTGAGCAGATACCGTCCCCATCCTCACTGTTTGCAAAGATGTGCCGGATGTGGTGCCGGGGCAGCAGGGTGGGATCGGCATTGACGTGAGCAATGGCACGGTCCAGTGCGGGTCCCACACGAGGCCATGCCCAGGGGTAGGACGTATTGTGCTGAGGGAGTATGACAGCCAGTATGATGTCATTGGTGTGGTTGTGCACAGGTCTGCGGGACCCTTGGTGTCTGCTGGTCTTGGTCCAGATCGGCAAGGTTCCACAGCACAGCAGGATCAAAAGAAGCAGAAATGATCTGCCTCCACCGAACCAGAGCAACAGATTCATACCACTGCAGCTCAAGCTTCCAACTATTCAGGAACACTAGACACACACAGGTTTATCATATGAGATCCATTGTAAACATACAGTACTTAGAGGCTATTTTTGTACTTGGACACACTTCAAATACTTTTTGAAAATGTATATATATATATATTTAAAAAAAGGTTCTTATGTATATTGAAAGTATTTTTGTTTTTTAATTTTGCTGTTTTACTAACCCATTCACTCTATATTTGGATCAGGAATTAGGCATTTTCAAATGTACTAATCTTCTTTGCACCTCTGAAAATAAATATTTTTTACCCTAGTATTGCAGTTAGTAGTTTTAGTTCCCTTTCGTGGAACTTCGAACTGTGTCCTCTAGGGGTCGCTATGGGGAACGCCTCGTCGTGACCCGTGTCTGAAGCCTACATTGAAAAAACACCAACTTGTTTGGCCGGCGACAGCCATGACGTCACTACCGCCGCGACTAGTACAAAATAGGCGCCGGTAGCGCACATCATTCTCTTCTTCGTCTTCACTGACCGGTCTGTTTGAAGCGTGCATTCCAAAAAGCAAAGTAAGAGCTTTTTCTTTCCTACTATGGCGAGCACTAGCGAAGCGTTTAGAAAGTGTGTACATCCGTGTCAGCGGTTTCTGACACCCGATGATTCACACGATCTATGCGTTGTTTGTTTGGGCGAGGAGCACGCACACGATGTCCTCGAGGGGGCAATCTGTGACGACGAGGCGTTCCCCATAGCGACCCCTAGAGGACGCAGTGTCTCGTTCCCCTCAGGGAACCATGGTTACACAAGTAACCCGAGACGTTTTCATGGATGAAAGCAGAACATGCAACCTGTCCAAGTTTGGCTAATTTGGCTAGCTGCTACCAAGTTACAGATAAGGTTGTGCCAAAATTTCAGTGGCTCAGGTGATTGGCTCCTAAAAAACTGGATGCAGAACTGAGCTGTTATAAGCTAAGATGACCAATTTCAAATAATGTATTTTGGGGGGTCTTGTGGCAACCAAGCAACAGCCATTGAGGTGAATGGGAATACTAAAAAAATAGCTTCACAGTAAGGTTCCACTGTCAACAACAATTTTAACAATTTATTGATATGTTAATATTAATTTTTAAATATACTGTTTATCTTTTCAAAACACATTGTTAATTTATACAACAATAAATGTTATATTTGCATATGTATAGATTAACATAATAGCTACTATAAAAGTATTGTTCATTGTTAGTTCATGATACCGTGTGCATTAACTAAAAATAACAAATTGAACCTTAATATAAAGTGCTACCAGATGTTCCAATCTAATGTAAGCTGCTTTGTATTCACTTCTAAGATTTTTTATTATTATTATATGCTACTTCTGTTGAAACAGTGTTAGTCACGCAACTGAAGGCAATACAAAGGGCTAAAAAAAAAAAATCTCTAAATATGACAGAAATATTTGAATGCATCCTGAATCACAGCTAAAAATATATCTTATGCTTTTGTTTGTAGAGAACAGATTAAAATCATTCCCCGTTGAAAATCAACTCTCAAGTAGTTGGTTGCAAAATTTAGGGTAAACACACTGAGGGGGAATAATACAATGCAAATATAAATAATCATGCATTTTGGATATCTTTAAATTTTTGTTGATCACATCAAAGGTCGTGTTTCAAACTCCATGATATTTTGGCAGAAATTCATCTGTCACTTGGTAAAAAGCTAGCCAAACTTAGTCAGATGCCAACATGGACAGCTTGAGCACTCATCTTTGAAAACTAAGAAACTAGGGTATAGGAAAATACAACACAACTACATTATAAATACAGGTTACAGGTTTGCCACATGTCCAGTGTGAAAAGTTCTGAAACAAACCCAATAGAGAACCACTGATCCAAAATGTAATGCCAAATAACATATAGTTTAAAAAAATATCAACTAAACATCAAACACAACAGAACCCCAAACAAGCAGAATAGAAAACTCTCTTAAGTACCTTTTATACATGGTGTCTTCTGGTCTCCTCAACATGAGCTGGTACAATCCTGTGACAGTCCACTCAACACAGCACAAATCACATCCCTGCCTCTGTGAAACTCATCCCCACAGGCTGACTGTGTGTCATTCAGAGTGCCAAGAGCAGCAGTGATTTTCTCAAATCACATTACCTCACAGAAAGCTCCACCTCATCTCCGTGTCGAGCTGCATTCCCTGCCATGCTCCAGGGTTCTGAGGGTATTAATGCCTCTCAGCTGCAGTTACTGCCGGCAGGAAGAGAGAGAGAGGGAGAGAGAGGGAAGATCAGCCGTGATGTGTTTTCCTCTCTTCTCTATTCCAGTAGGGTAAACGTTGACCCTTTGGTCTGAGAAGCACTTCCAAATGTTCCCAGCTATAAAAAAACAACAATGTAAACACTCCTTTAATTTCAAGTCAGAGGAAATCAATGGCATCAAAATCCATTAGCTTCTACTGTGCATTGAATAACCATAGCTGAATATTACCTATAAGAAACAAGAGGTCAAGGTTTGGCTAGTTAGTATGACCCTGTAATCTCCTGCTGGTAGCTAAATGTGGGCAAACAGCTCTTTCTCCATTAGTGACTATTCAAAAGTGAACTAAACATTTAACACTGGTAAAAATTTTATGCAAGCAACATACACTGTTTGAAGGTTAAAAATACAGACTTTTTAATGTTTTTGAAAGGAATCTCTAATGCTCACCAAGGCTCCACTTCAAAATGCTTTTTTTTAAATTGTGAAATATTATTCCAATAAAATTCCTGTTTTATCATCAAATATTTTACAATGTAATTATTTATGTGATAGCAAAGCTGAATTTTCTCATTACTCCAGTATTCAGTGTCACATGATCCTTCAGGAATAGTTCTAATATGCTGATCTGGTGCTCAGTTATTATTAATGTTCAATTACTAATAATGTTCTTATTATTTTCAGTGTTGGAAACAGTTTTTGCTTCTTAATATTTCTATGAAAACCATGATACATTTTTCCAGGAGTCTTTTCAGGGAAAATAAAAATCTTGTAACATTATAAATGTCTTTACTGTCACTTTTGATCAATTCAACGTGCCTTTGATTAATAAAAGTATTGGTAATAATCAGAAATGTTTCTTGAGCACCAAATTAGCATATTAAAATTATTTCTTTATATAAAACAATTTTTAAAAAATGTAAAAGCCTATAGGCTAATATTGATTTTAAAATAGACTATTGTTCATTGTTTGTTCATTATACATTAATGTTCATGTATACAACCTGAAATGTTGCAAATGTATTCGCATACTGCATGTAGAAATGAACATAATAGATGCTGTTAAAGTATTGTGCACTGGTGCTTCATGATCCCTAGCACAAATAAATAATGTTAACAAATTGAACCTTATTGTAAAGTGTTAAAGTGTTCTCCAGAACTAGTGTGGAAATATTTTTACTTGTTTCAGAAAGACAGACCTTACTGTGCCTTAGTAAGTAGGCTGAAAGTGGTGGTGGATATGACCACAGCAGTGAGGTTACAAAGGTTTAAATGCTTTTGCGAGCAGATATCCCTTCACTGTCATTTGCTGTGACCCTTATGAGAGGCAGGTCAGAGCAGTTTCCAGCTGCCCAGCAAGATGTGCCCCTATATGGGTCAGGACAAGCTCTATCTGCTCACCACACATTTGGAGCTCAACGTCTACTAACCTTCTTCAGCTGAGTGTTTGTGTGTGAAGCTGGTTTCCTTGGTTTCTTTAAGCTGATGGTATTTGTGTGTTTGTGAGTTACTTGTGAGAGATTCTTTTTTGAGCTTTCAGCCACCAGTGTTCCAGCACAACTCTGACATTTATATTCAAAGCCAGTTACAGTTTTTTAATGGAATGTTGAAATAATAGTCATAAGCACTGAGATATGATATGCAATGTCAGTTACGGGTCATTCTAATAGACATTCACAGGTAACCTCTCTTTTCTTGTTGTAATACATTTAACATTGCAGTGCATAGATAAATGAATTAAAAGGGTGTATAATTCTTTATGGTAGTGATTCTCAACCAGAAGTACATACTTCAGCAGGTTCAAGGGAAAGAAGAAAAAACATTAATCATGATTAATATTATGATTTTTCGTTTCGTTCCTTTTTAAGCAGGAATGCACTGAAATTAAAATTATGGATGATAAACGTAATTATTATGAATGTTATGGCCAGTAACTGATAAATGGCTGATAATAAAATTCTATATTATTTTGTCTAAATAAATTCAAAACAAAAGACTACAACAAAACCTGATAATGTAAAACGATACAAGTAAATTTAGGGATCACAGCATTATGAATGTTCAGTGTGAAAAATGGATATTCATTTGGAGATTTGCTAAAGACCACATTTTAGAGTAATATTAAAATTAAAGTATTTAAATTATTAGTGTTTATAAAGATTAACTTAAATTAATCTTCAATTAAAGATCAATTAAAGTTAGATAACAGCAAAGGTAATCTATATGAAAAAATGAATAAATGTGGATGCATAAATAATTAGCCAATACTTTATCATAAATAATATTTATAATTAATAATATTAATATAATTAATAATATTAATATAATTAATAATATTCAATATTATAAATAATATTTATAATAAATATAACATATATTATAAAAAAAATACTTGTCAGGTAATCAATATGGTATTGATATATTGTGAATCCCTATTTTTAAGGAGAGAAAACAATAATCAAGTTTTATAAATTGGGTGACACTCTTAGGAGAATACATGTGCTACCTGAGTTTTTCCACCTACAGTATTGTTTGTTTTATGTTTAAGAGATACTTTAATAATATTTATGAAGAATATTTGTAATATTTAAAAAGAAACAATTCTGGTTGATGTCAATAAAATGGCATGTGAGCATTACTGATGAGGCTGTCAGGCTACATAAAATGAAAAAGGTTACGTTTAAAAAAGAGCCAAACTGAACTCAGATCAGTGTTTAGTCAGTTCTAGATTTGTCCTTCATCCCCCTTCAGAGAGCCCGGGATGGTCAAATGGATAGAATTACTAAAACAGGATGCAACACAATAGCATCTCCCTCCCTCTCTCTCTCCCAACATTTCCCTTTCCATCCTCTATCTCTATCTCCATATTTCATTCCTTTATAACCATTCCCTTATTTAAGGAAAGCTGAAAGTGAGACAGAAAAACCCAGCGAGAGCGAGATTGTTCATTCTAGCACACAGCAGACAGGAAGCAGTATTGGACCGACAATGAAACTGTCAAATGTGTCAAACACACATTCATAACAGAGTGCTTTTTGCCATTGTGTAAACACACCTTAAACTGTGATCATTGCTGGTACTGAAGCAGGACAGCTCCTTGCTCTCTTTCTCATTCTCATTCGGGTGAGCAACAGGAGATAGTGGCAGCTGGACATACTTGTGTGATTTTGGAGTACAGTTGCATGCAGAAAAAATATAGAAGTATAAACACTGCATAAACACACAGAGTGAGCTTTACATGCACTAGTGTGAACTAAACAAATCTATTATAGTTTAGCAAAATGCGGAACCCTAGTTTGCTAATCAGATCTGCTGCACACAGAAAAGGCTAATGAATGATATTCCTTTTATCAAACAGCATGACTTATGTGCGGATAGCACAAACATTTAAAAATGACTCTACAGCTTGTCAATTATCAGGAAGTTCCATTTCATTTTAGTCTATTCTGTGTTACCATGGCATTAAACTCCCAGCTCCGTGTTAGACGGGGCTTTGTGATCAACTGCTATCTGAGTACAGTGCATTCAGAGTGACTAATGCACAGGAACAACTAAAGTCATTTTAGGATTCACAATTATAGCAGGTTGGAGGAGGAGATCTGGATATGTAAAGAACATAGAACTGGTGTCACATTAGCTGAAAAAAAAATTATTCTGCACATTATGCACATCTTGTACCCACTTATTCTCTGTCTCAGGAAAAAAGCAACCAGTTAAACAACCATTAAAATAATCATCAGTTGACACTGCAAGCACCATATCAACTTAAGCCCAGAAATCTAAGGACATGGGCCTCATTGTTCTCAAACTTCTCATGCAAAATGTTAGCTGGATTTACAAAAGATGAACTTTTGTTTTAACCCTATTTCTATTGTTTGATGTATCCGGATTAGGGATTATTTTAATGAGAGAGAGCGCGACATGCCCACAGCTACTAATTTTCAAAAACAAGCCCACAGCATGTCCATACAAGAGATATCTGAACAACAAAGCAAGAAAGCAAAGTGTACTGTTCTCGATTCAAAAATGTAAAACACAATGAATGATTTTTATACATACCAAAACTACATATATTTGTGTTTTGAACCCCTTATTTGTCAGCGCTACATATACTTATACAGGCTGCATTTTGTCGTTTGCATTGTAACAGAAATAATATTCTATAGAATATTTTATGTATTTTAGAAATATTCATCATTCTAATAATATTACAAAATAATATTTTGTAGAGTCACTGAGTTATTAATATTCTAATAATAGCAACAAATACAAAAATGATGGCAAAATAAAAAATATTTTGCCCCACCAGGACCATGTAATTTTTTTGCTACCTGTGACTTCAGTTGGTTCTTAATACCTTAGAATACATTTTACTGTGAACCACTGATCCATGGCGCAAACCTGTGAAATTATTATTATTATTATTTTTTTTATTATTTAATCATAGTCACTGTAAAACCTGGTAAGTTAAGAATACTCAAAACATTTGAGGAAACTTATTCATTAACTGCAGTTTATTCAGATCTTTATAGTTAAGTGCTAGCTAGCAATAGCACACTAGCACATACCAATATAATTATTTAAAAGACTCCCAATACTTGCATGTAAATAGTCAAACAACGTGCAATATAAATAGTTTTTAAGCTCTGTTGTCCATCCTCAACCTAACCACAGGCTCTACTCTTCACCACAACGGTAACACTACAAAACTAACATAGAAACCTATGTAAATCCTAACATAACACAACATTTAAGTACTAACTTATGTCTCTCTATGTTAATCTTGTGTAAAAACACACAAAATAACACTTAATTTCTACATTTATTTTCCTTGTTGTCTGATGCAAAGCATGCTGGGAACTAGAAAACGCAATCATTTTAAGTTCACCTTACTACAACAACATTTTACATTTACAGAACTTATTTCAAATAAGTCCAATGAACTTTCATTATTATTTGAGTGAAGTTAACTCGTTTCATTTAATTAATTTCACTGTTCGGTTTTACAGTGTAGTAGCATACTCTGGCTATTTCTGCCATATAAAGCTATGGCGCATAAAGTGAAGCATTCAGCTCCAGTTTTCATGAAGTATAAGTGGAACATTGAGGGGGAAGAAAGCACTGGCCACCTTTTCTGAGTTAAGAAAATGGCCAATTTTACCTGTAGGTGTTCCCAAAAAGGTTGGGTTTATAGTTGATTACAGCTCTCACATCTTTCTCCCAGCAGCACTGATGTGTTCAGCACCGAGTTTGATTGTCTCAGAGAGCTGGTCTGGAAAACTGATGCGCTGTTCACACCATTTGTACTCACACAATGTGTTTCTGGATTTAAAAACACGGTTTCTGAAGCACCACCCATTAAGTTGTCCTACCTTGTGCATTGAATTTAGCAGAAGACCAAATCCATGCATTTTCTAAAAATGTAATATTGCAATATTATGAGTGAAAACATGATTACTGTAGCATAAATGATTGATTTCATTGCTCTTATTAGCTTTTGCCACATATCAATACAGCCATTCGGTCATCTTGGTTAGGTTTTGAGGTATAGCACTGTTTACAAGCATGACAGCTTAAACTACCAGTCATGTTAAGTGGGCAAATCAGACTTTCAGACCCCATATGAGAACATTTAACGTGTCAGAGTGCTGTTGCTGTTGCTGTTCTATTCAGCAGTCTCAACTTCATAAAACACACAATGAAAATCTGTGCTCAGTGAGCAGCCTAAAGCTCAGAGATCATAAATAATATACAGGAGCTGTTACATTAAATCCAGTGTTGAACAAGATAAATCGCCTACTTGTGAAGATAAACACCAGGTTTTTAGTGTAGAGTGTTTAAAGATTCCTTTGAGTAACATTTTATATTATAATTGTTCATTAATAATTTTGTCTTTATCATTATTGCATACAAAATCAGTAGACATCAAGCATTTAAATAAGTATTTGAAAAAATAGAGATGACAAGTTTCTCAGGATGGTGATGGCAATCACGTTAAAGTGACACCCGTGATCATGTATATAGGAAACTTCAAACATCTAGCACCCCCTGCTGGGAAATCATCTATCATTTACCAAAATTCTCTTCAAGCACCAATTTCTTGTTCTGTATTACATAATAATAATAACAACAACAACAATAATAATAACTACTCCCAGTGACAAAGCTGAATTTTCAGCAACCATTACTCCACCCTTTAGTGTCACATGATCCTTCAGAAATTATTATAGCATGCTGATTTACTGCTCAAAAAAACATTTCTTCTTATCATCATTGCTAAAAACAGCTGTGCTGTTTACTATTTTTGTGGAAACCATGATGCACTACTATTCAAAAGTTTAAGCAATATTTAATAACTAAATACATTTAATGAGCAAGGATGTATTAAACTGATGAAAAGTGACAGTTACAAAAACATTTACGTTACAAAAGATTTTTTATTTCAAATAAATGCTTTTTTTTAAACTTTCTATTCATCAAAGAATCCTGAAAAAAAAATTATCATGCTTTCCACAAAAATATGAAGTTTTCAACTACTGAACTGAATGCTTCAGCTGTTTTCCATACTGAAAAATGTTTCTCAAGCAACAAATCAGCATATTAAAAGAATTTCTAAAGGGTCATGTGACACTGAAGACTGGAGTAATGGCTGCTGAAAATTTGCTTTGCCATCACATGAATAAATTGCATTTTAAAATATATTCAAATGGAAACCAGTTATTATAAATTGTAAGGATATTTCACAATATAACTGTTTTACTGTAGTTTTGATCAAATAAATGCAGTCTTCCTGAGCAGGAGAGACTTTTCAAAAACATTATCCAAAACTCCCCAGAGTATATTTGAGAAAGTGAAACAGAATTGATCATTCTTAATGCAATAAAATGTTGTCTATCGACACATTTCCCATTTTCTGGAAATAACATAACTTGTTAGAAATTGGTTTCTTTCCCACCAGGATATTTCTATCAGACTAAATAATTGGGTAGCCATTTAGCTGGACCTGTGTGACGTTGTTGGAGTGCTAAAGAACACCCTCATCCTCCTGTGGCACAGGCAAAAACTCTGGATACTGCTTCGAGTGCAGAGGGATTCAGTGGTTGAGTCATCTGATGCTTCAATAATCCAGGGTAACACACACCATGAGGAAAAGGATAAACAGGATCCTACTGAAGGATGCTCAAACACATCTTTCCCTGGGTTCTTACATAAAAGCACTGATCTACAAAATGACAGCATGAAAGGACAGTTTTGGTGAAAATGGACTTCTAAAGAGAGGCCAACTCAGTTGTTTCCACAGCAACAGGAGACTGCACAAACAATTTTGCGGTCCATCATTACACAGCTGCACATGGCAGGAAAATACTACAGATGATAAGAGAGAATGCAAAATGGAAATTGTTTTATATTAATGATACTAGTAGATGTGTTTTGATTTGACTCACCTTTGGTCTGGGATTTTCAAAATAATCACCTTTGGCTCATACAAGAAAATCACAAGAAAAATCGCAAAGCAACTTGCGTTATAAACACGGACATTTAAGTGAAGGGTTTGACTTTTTTTTTTTGTAGAGAATTTTGTTTACCAGTGCCTGTAAGTAAAATAAAAAAACGAAGCCCAAGACAAAGACAGCAATTTGCAAACATCTTTTATTAAAGAATAGAAAAACCAACGATCACCACAGAGTGAGTGTTTAAACAGTTCCACATGAACTTTTCTTTTTTTTAATCACCACCTGTAAAACATAATCCAGCAATATAAATATGTACAGTCAATCTTGCATATTCTAATCAAATCGGAATGATACAAAAACCTGTTGTGAAAAAAGAAAGGATGGTATATATAAAACTATATAAAATAAGTTCAGGTCTGCTGGAGTCGATCAGTAAGGACAAATAGCCCTGTAACAGAGCAAGTTAGACTACATGCTCCATTAGTTAGGGTTAAACTAAGGAATATGCAGTTGAGCTCAACTTTGGTCTCATCACACTATGTCATCCAAATCAACCTGAGCCATATATGGATCCAGCTCTGCGTCCAGATGGATCTTGGACATGGACATGTAGTCATCCAGTTGTTCATCCAACTGCTCTCGAGAAGGAATCTGGTGGCTGTCGAATCTGGCCCGGCTGCACCCTGAATACGCCCTACTGACAGACATAAAAGAACCACCACCTGTGCAGATAAAACGAGAGTTATTTTATAGCCTAAACAGAGAGAAGGTTATCAATGAAAGCATTTGCATGTACTGAATCTAATCGTATCACTTCAGTGAGGGGGCAAATATGCATTTTCCTACAGTATGAAAAATGTCTTTTTGAGAGAAACTGCAATCTGGCAGCTTTTTAGTGCTCAGAGTTGTTGAGCACAGCAAAAATTATTAATCAAGAAATCAATTTATTTGCACCATTTGAAAAGAAATGGAACAGAGCCCGTTTGTTTAAAGTGTTTCCATAACCAGGTAAATTACTGCAATCTTTTCTGATGCTCACTGAATGCACTGAACATCCAAAAAGCAAATGGAACTACATTCATACATTTAATCAAATACGTAGGCAATTCTAAAGCTATCTGGCATATATTTCAGTGAATGTTGCTGGCTTTTTCATCAGAGTAATTCGCTGAATAAACCAGTGTATGATTAGTGCATAAAAGATTCATCAAAAAGAAACTAAAATTCAAAGGGGTTAGATCATAAGGTATCAAATTGACCTTAACCTTTTGAACTTTTTTAAATCACTGTACTAATATAGCACAATGTACCTTTTAGAACTTTTTTTTTTTTTTTTGTCCATAATGCCACACATATTTACCAAAAATATTAACATTGACCACCCAGATTTACACATCAACAACACTTAATCAGCTGATCAGAAACTTGGCCTTCCCAGTTACAAAACAGTTAAATGTGCTGGATAAAAACTACTATTTAAACAACAGAAGAGCTAGTAAGTTGCCAAACCGTGTGCTGTTCCTGGATGTGGCACCTGCCGCTCTGCATTTCCTTCTGAAGAATCCAAACATTAGGAAAGAGTTGCTGAAGTTCATTTTTAACAAATTCCCTAATCATTTCAGTCTCAAAAATGTCAATTTCAGTGTAAAATCGAGCAATGGGGTTTTCAGGGTGTTATTTTTGTCGGCATGAAAGTAATTATTCACAATTAATGTTTTAGAGACGCAAAGATGGCAGCATGCAAGTTGCATACTTCTGGGGCCAAGCATTGAACTCAGGTACCCAGCAATAGTGCGATATCAAGAAAAATGCTAGTGTAAGTTAAATTAATTATATTTTAACTAGAATTAGAATTAATTAGTGAAGTGTTGCACATTTTATTGGTACCGAGATGAGTAGGTGTATTTTGTAAAACGTTTGCAACTGCTTTTATCCCTTATTTAGAACCACCACAATTAAATTGTCATCTGTCACATAGGAACTACTGAACAGACAAGTGCAACGTATTGAAAATAACAGTGTGAGTGTGCTCTCCGCACGCTTGTGGTCTTCACTCTTCATGGCCACTTGAACACTTAGACCAAATACAGGAAATATGTCTTGTAAGTAAACAAGTGGTCAAGTGTAAAGACCGTTAAGTATGGTTATTGGGATAGGTATTATAGACCTCCATGTTCTCACCTGTCTTTGTAATGGCTCCTCCCCCTCTGCTTCCCATTGGTCCAGTCCAAATCACATTTCCTCCACACTGTTGCTGGCCCCACCCCTTCTGAACACCTAGAGAGGAGACTACCCCTCGCAGACTACTTATGCCTGCACACCGAAACACACATACATGGATGTACATGAGATTTAATGTAATGCTGATGTTAATCTCATCTACTCACTCACTTCTCCTTGTGTAAAATCCTTTGACTAATCCTCTTCTTCTGCCGCCGCCTCCTCCTCCTCTCATTTGCCCCCGCAATCCCATCATGCCCACTCTCACCATGGGATGGCCGAGTCTTGCCTTCACACTCACTTTGCACAGTTGATTATTTATATTCTGCAGAGAGGAAGAGTCACAGAAACTATTTAGTCTGCTATCAGAGAACATCGGCTCTGAGAGTTTTGTATTTTGATAAACAGAATGTGCCTGACAGATATGTTATTTAGGGCAGCCAACACAGAAGGTCTGTTGGCCATTTCCAGAGCCAGACGCTGGTTCTTCTTCAGTGAGGCTGCAGTCTGCTGGTTCACTGCGGCTGTGATGTCCATCACATCTGCTGGCTGATGCTTCAACAAACTGGTCAAGCTTCAGGGAGGAGAACAAGACGACGATTTAAAGCACACCACAATATCACAGTGGTTGCACTGTAAACAACGGTTTAGAAAATAGTAGGACTGCAAGACTAATTCTCACCGGTCATGCAGAGAGACGGTGCATGTGCTGTTCAGAATGATCTTTTGGGGATCCAGAGGATTCATTTTCACATCCAGCTTGCGGTGTAAACGTCAGACTTTCAGTCAAACCAATGCTAAAATGGTAGAGTGAGAAGTCAAATTAATGTTGACATCTAACTTTACCCTACACAGTCCTAATTCTAAGTGTATCCACCTTTTTCTTGTCGTAAAAATGGGCGCAGCCATTTGTAAATTCTATGGGTCTGGCTTCTGGTCTCATCTGCGTCCACTCCGTCCAGCTATTTTTAGCTGAACAAAACTGATATTGAAAGTTGGTGTGTCTTATCATATTATTTTAATGTATTATCTTAATTATGAACACATTGGTTTTTAGTGCAAACAGTTTTACCGTTTACTGCACGTTGTTATTCTCCTCGTTATTTACCTATAGCGGCTAATGAACCGGAAGTCTCACCCATAAGCTTACTTCTGCGTTGAAGAAAAAAGTGGATATCTGGGCTGCGTTCAGCCCCGACAAAACAGTGCAAAACTTTTTTAAAACGGAAACGGTGGTGCGTTGAACACTCTGTTCTGATGACGCAAGAGTTGCAACTATGGCAGCTGAGAAGGCCAATCTTTGTGTTCTTTTTGAAGAATTTTCGGAGCCTGATGATTAGCTATATAAACCAAAATCATTTTTTGAACCAGGCTGTAAACGTTTTTTTCTGCTGTAAAGTTGGGCATTTTAACATGGGGAGTCTATGGGATTGACTCCCTTTTGCAGCCAGCCTCTAGCGGCCAGTTGACGAATTACAGTTTAAGTCACTTCCTTGTTGGCTTCACGAGAGAGAGGGGGAGGTTGCCGCTTGGTCTGGGCTAGTTCAGCACTCACGAAACAAAACTTAGCAAACATTTGGACGTGCAAAATTTAACAGAAAAAAACCGCACATTTTAATATTTAAGCTAAACACATTACTTATAAAATCGCGTTAATTGATTCACCACCATTAAAGTTAGCATCAATACACGCTCACAGAACAACCTTACTAGAGAAGTTTTAGTCGGATGTTTTCTGCCAGGTGCGCGGAGTTTGGTACAGTAATTCACCCACGCTGCTGTGGTTCGGCTGAATGTGTACCGCCCTCTACTGGACATAGCGGCACATGGACACTACAATCTGTGTTTTGTTTTGTTTTGTTTTTTGTTTTTTTTATGATCTGGATAATATATATTTTTGTATAACGTCTTTGTATAATCGTTGTATAACGTTTTTATTTAACTATTAGAGTACTGTTAGATGTTTAAGCCTCAATAGAAACATTTAGGCCCATCTGATATGTATCATATTTAACTGAATATAAAAAAGATCCATTTTTCATCAAATGAAAATCAAAAAGCCCCAGGTAAGGGTTTCTTGTTGATCCGTAGTATTATTAATCAAAACTAAGATGAAATCAATATGGGTTTAAATAATCTTGAATTAAAGCTAAAATGGCTTAGATGGCTGTACCAGTGAGCTGACCGACCAGATAAACCAGCTGAGCGCCAGCCTGGTTTTTGAGCAGGGTTAGTTCTTGTTACTTATTTCACTTTTACTTGCGTTCTACAGAACTTTAAATGATTTCGAGCAGCAACTAAAAATGTCGTCATCATCGCACAATATTCTTTTTCACAAAGTTTTACAATTTTTATTTTATTTTATTTTCTTGCGCACCGATTTACAGTTTTATGCAAACATTTGGGTACCCCTCTGAGGCTTCATAATAATTAGCTCTTTCTTTATAAGTAAAGATTGTAGTTATATACTATTCGTTTTCTAGAGAAAACTGCATAATGTGGTGTTTTCCAAACAGAAATTCTTAGTGTAGCAGTATTGAGCTATATGAAATAAAGTCGAAAGTAAAAAAAATAGGCTGTGCAAAAGTGGGCACCCTTTCAATTGTTTTTATTTTAATACCTGTGGTCACTTATTGCTGATTGATTACAACACAATATTGATTTGATTGGCTCAGTGAACCTTAACACTGCAAACTCAGGTGCAACCCATCATGGAAAATTATATTTAAGGTAGCTAATTGCGTTTTTCCTTGATTCGCTACTGAAAAGTAGCAACATGCAAACCTCAAAAGAACTCCCCAATGATCTAAAAACTAGGATGATTTGTCAATATGAATTAGGAGAAGGAGACAAAAATTTTCACAAAGGTTTAAGGTCTCTGCCTCCACAGTCAGAGATACATTTAGAAAATGGAAGGCCACAGGAACAGTCATTGTCAAGGAAAGATGTGGTAGGCTGAGAAAAATACCTGAAAAGCAAAGGCGAAGAATGGTTAGAATGGTCACAGTCAGACCACCTCCAAAGAGCTCCAAGAACATCTGTCTGCTGATAATGTCATTGTACATCGTTCCACAGTCCAGCGCATTTTGCACAAAAAACAGCTCAATGGAAAGGTGATGTGGAAAGACTTTTCTGCACTGCCAACAAGCATAGTTGTTGGAGGTATGCAAAAGCTCATCTGGACAAACCTGAATTATTTTGGAATGTCCTGTGGACCGATGAAACTATGTTGTCACAACCAGAAGCGCTTTGCATGGTGGAAAAGAAGAACCTGCTCCCTACTGTTAAATTTGGTGGAGAGTCTAGGGCTGTGTGGCAGGCACAAGTACTGGAAACCTTGTCAGAGTTGAGGGTCACATGGTATCGGTATAAGCAGATTCTTAATAACAATGATCAAGATTCTGTCAAGAGGTGGAAGTTATGCCAGGGGGTTGACAGTGACCCAAAGCATTGCTCCAAATCTACAAAGGAATTCATGCACAGACACAGATACACTGTTCTACAATGGCCATCCCAGTCCCCAGACTTGAATATCATCGGAAATATATGGATTGATTTGAAGCAGGCTGTCCATGTTCGGCAGCCATCAAACCAGCAGACATTTTGCAAGGAAGAGTAGTAAAAACCGGCAGTCAGCAGAATTCAGAGACTTATCAGTGGCAATAAGAAGTGTCTATTTTAGCAAAAGGTGCCTATAGTAAATATTGATGTGATTATTATTCCACTGAGGTGCCCAAATTTTTGCACCGGTCCGTTGTTGTTATTATTCATATTGCATTGTTTCTGTTGATTCAATAAATGTTATTTCAAAATTGAAATGTTACTGTATAAATTATATCCAAATGAAGTTGCTGCTTCGAAAACCTAGCAGATTATAAATTAAAATTATGATAGTCTAATTATCAGGGGTGCCCAAACTTTTGCATAAAACTGTATTTATTTTATTTATTTGCGTGTTTTAGCTACATTGCTTTACATTACGTTACATAATTGTGGCCGTTGGTCTTTGTCTCCGTTTCAGATTTCAGTTTTACTGTGCTTGATTTATTTGACAAATAACTCTGCATTTGTGTCGCTAGGGGAGTTACCTCTCAGTTTCAGTCTCTCGCGCTCTGTGTGGATAAACGCGCGAGAGTAGGCGAGCGAGTCAGACGTGCGCAGACATACACAGAAGAGTACGCACATGTGACACAACTGCATTGTAAGTAGTTCTTATATTGACTTACATGTATTTGCTGTTTGTGTTTTATGTATTTAGTAATTAATAGTTGTGTCAGTAAACTATATACTGTCTCTGAGTAAACCGAATAAAATATATGTATCAAATAAAAATGACAAAAGCATGCAACAAAATTAGTAAAACTAAAATTAAAATGAAAGCTGAAAAAATAAAAATAAAAGCCAATTCAAAATAATAATATGAATAATCAAGCGTAGCATTAATTCTATGAAAAAGTCATTTCATGGTTTCAGAGAGAAGAGAGGTCCGTGGAGAGTGAGACAGAGTTTTCCCTTCCCCCAGCTGTAGACGGGGAGAGAGGCGGGTGGAGGGTGAGGAAGGGTTGTTTTGTCTGAAACACAGGAAAGGGGCAGGGCCAAGCTTAAACCTGTCTGTCTCACAGTCTGTGTATGTGGGAGAGAGACGACTGTGTCAGTATTTGAAGCATGAGTGCAATGTGTTCAAGTAGGACATTTATGCAACAAGTTGTAAAAGTATCTGTGCATCAGTATGAATTTGAGCTGAACTCTGTTTCATGTCAAGCACAGCTATTAGGGTTTGTTAGTGGTGAAATGCGATGTTTATGAAAATGAGAGAGTTCTGAGAGTTTAATATGGTGCTCTGTGTGTGAGTTTGTAAAACGTAATGGGTTTGGCAGTGGACCAGTTCTGTCTCTGTCTGTGCACCGACTGTCTCTGCTTTGACTCGCTCAGGAAGGTCAGTCTCCTAGTTGGAGAATTGTAAGTCATTTCAGTAGCAAATGAGGTCACAGTATGTTGCCACTCACGCATGATTTAGAGAAGATGGCCTGACAGAAGAGTCAAATGTTTCTCTATACATTTTATCTTCAGTGTTCCTTTGTCTCCTTTCTGATAGAGAATCTCTGACTTTAGACCTGTCCATCCATCCATAAAAGTTTGACCATTCTTTACTCTTGTCTAGTTAATATTTAATATGGATGCATTGTGAAGCAGTAACAGAATTTCCTAGAATCTTTAGAATCTAAATTTAGATCTAGCTTGCTTTATTTAGATACAATAAAAATGACCTAAAATGATCTAAAAATGTTGTTATCTAAATGTATAATACAATATTAATATGATGTAAACTTATCTCTAAAACATTTTCTTTAAAACTAAATATAACTGAGAAAAAAAGTATACAAATATAGACCACCATGCAGAAGTTTGGGGGCAGTAAGATTTTAATACAGTTAGAAATTAATACTTTTATTCAGAAAGGATGCATTAAATTGACCAAAAGTGACAGTAAAGAAAAACACTTAAATTTTTTACATTTCAGAATTTTTTATTCATCAAAGAATCATAAAAATCACAGTTTCCACAAAACATTAAGCAGCACAAATGTTTTCAATATTGATAATAAGAAATGTTTCTTGAGCACCAAATTAGCATAGTAGAATGATTTCTGAAGTATCATGTGACACTGAACACTGGAGTAATGGCTGCTGACAATTCGGCTTTAACATCACAGGAATAAATTACAATAAAAAAATATTAAAGTAGAAAAAAGTTATTTTAAATTGTAATAATATTTTTCAGTATTTTTATTGCGTATAAGAGACTTCTTTCAAAAACATCTAACTCACCCCCAAACATTTGAATGGTAGAGGTATATAAAGAACATTTTAGCTAATTCACATTCTGCAAATAAATCATGACATTAAT